AATCATGGCCCATCAATCGGTTTGTACTCACTGCCAATCGTTTTTCTAGATGTCTTCGTTAAGTTCAATCCGTATTTACTGGCTAGGCACTCAGTTAGTCAGACACCGATACATACATATATAACTATCGATTAATCCGAAAGGACACATAGCCATAGAAATAACTAATTAAAAAAAGTGTAATTTCGCCGCTGTAAAAAATAACTGTAAAAAAGAAAAACTTGCAAAAAACAACAAATAAAAATAAAATCAAATTGAGTTTTTCTTGGTATGTTCAAATATTTATTGTATTGTAATTGTATTATAAGCATAAATTTTGAAAAAAAAAAATAATAATATTAAACATTTTTTTGTTTGCTTTATATATATATATTTGTGTGTGTGTGTATGAGTGCATCTATATCTGGGATATTAATAGTTACAAACATATAAATACATATATATATATATATACATACATATATATATATATACATATATATACATACGCATGTATCTTATATACATTAGATCGAAAAATCGCGTCTTGCAATTAATATAAGTAACTAAATAACGATTTAAAATTAATAGATAAAGGTTTATATAAGATAGTGTGTATATAGAAACATATATATATATATATATGTATACATATATATATTTCTTTTTTACATATATAGTATGTTTAAATAATGTGTGTGTGTATTTGTAAATTTTATAAACCGAAATAATTTTTATTTGCCAAATTAAGAAAAAATTGAACAATTTCCAAAAAAAAAGTTTTCCTACGAATTTGTTTAGTTTTCTTTTCGTTTTTTTTTTTGGGTTTCATTGGTTTTTTAGTATATATATATATAGATATTTTATGTATATCAACAACTATGTTCATACAAACATACGTTAAACATGTATGTGTATATGTGTATAAAAATTGTAAAATAAAAAATAAACGTAAAAGTGTTTATGCAACATTTGCTTGTTGCAAGTTTTTTTTTGTTTTTTTTTTTGTTTGTTTTTTAGTATATTTGCGAGGATTTAGAGGTTTTGGTTGTTGTTGTTGTGGTTGTGTTTCACTTGGTTTACAAAAAAAAAAAAAAAACATTAACAGAGCTACATTTTAATTGCAAAATGCATAGCTTAGTTTTTCTCTTCTTTTTTTTTTTTGTTTTAATTTTTAGTTTAACAAACAATAAATGAAATTGCTTTTCTTTCGTTTTGTTTTTGTTTTATGTAACTTTTTACCATTTTTTTGTTGTTTTCTTTTTTGTTGCTTTGTTTTGTCTGTTTCGTTTTATTGTTGCAGATAAATTTGTACGGTTTTCAAATTGTTTTTAAAACTCTGTATTTTGTATTTTCATACGTTCTATAGGAAACTAGGTGCATTCGTATTGATTGGCTGTGTCTACGTATGTATGTATGCGTGTATGTGTGTGTGGTTGTGTGTGTTTGTCTATGATAAATTGTACAATAGTCTTTTGCTTATTTAGTATTTGTATTTTGTATTTGTATATAGGTTTTTACTGGTATTTATCTACTGTATTTTGTTTTTCGTTTCTTTTAACTTTTAGCTGCGTTTTCATGAATATTTCTCTATTGTTGTTTGTTTTGTTTTTGTATTTGTTTCCATTTCTTTGCTTCATTCGGATTCTAGTGTAAATTTTAAGAAAATATTGGGTATCGATTTCCTTTTTGATTTTGATTTTGGTTTTTTTTTACGCTTTTTTTTCATGTTCTCTTTGTTTTTGTTTCTGTTTTGTCACTAGTATTTAACGAGATTTCTATTTACATTGGTTTCTTTAACAACAACAAAAAAGTACTTTTTTAGATTTACATTTTCGGTTTTTTGTTTTTTTTTTTTAATTTTTCTTTTTTTTTTTTGTATAAAAATTGATTTTGTTTTTCCATAAATTTGCTTAAACACCTGAATAGCATTTAACATATATATATAACAATTTTTTAGTTTTTTCTTCTTTTTTTTATAGATTTTAATATCGCGTTATATGAAGTGTATAAGTTTATATACTATATATTTGTATGTATAAAATATATATAAAAAAAATATTTTTAAGGAGCAGCAGTGCTTGATTATATATTTACTTTCATCAAAACAAACTAAAAAAAAATGTTTCCTATATTTTTCAAATGTTTCTCGTCTATTTACATGCAAGAACAAACGCGTTTGCAAGCCGTGGGAAAACTTAGAAAAGAAAAATAAAACATTAAATTGTCCCAGCAATTCTATGCCTCCTCCTCTTCCTCTTCCTCTTCTTGTTATTATTATTGTTCTCCTTTTTAAACCGAAATTGAAAATTTGAAAGCATAGGTTAGGAGCCCAGATATACCCAGGTAAAACATCAAGTAGCAAAGCATATGTTAAAGTATATATATATATATATATATATATATATATATATATATATATATATATATATATATATATATATATATATATATATATATATATAAATTTATATATATGTATATAGATATAGAGTAATTATAGAAAGGTATAATTTGTTGAATTGATGAGCGCTAATTGCTAATTGCCTAAAAGTTCGTTGAAACGTTGCTATAGATTGATCATATATGATCATAGCATATATGTCTAATTATATATTTCGTGTAACTCTCTATATATATAGTTGTATAGTTGTACTAGCTTCCTAATAGTTTCTAGTTAGTGTGTGTTTCCGTTCTTTTTATCTTCTGTTTCTTGTTTATATAAAAAAAAAAACCAAAACTAAACCTAAATAACAGTTTTGCATCAAGTTTTTATGTAATTATTTTTGTTTTGTTTTTGACTTCATTTGAAGAGTTCAGACATTATATATATATTTGTGTATATATACATAACACTAACTTGCGTTTTCCATTTACGAAAGAACTCTATGCATACACACATATATACATTCATATATATGCACATATATACACATCTCTTATTAGCAAAAAAATCGACAGTTGAACAGCCGCTAAAGTTCGATAAGGTTTAAAAACCTTTGCAAACTGAGCGGCCAAAAATGTTTTCTTTCTTTTCTGTTTCTCTCTTATTCCACAGTTTTTCTTTCTCCTCTTTTTTCCTTTGTTTTTGTTTTAGTTAATATTATTATTATTGTTGTTGCTGTTGTTGTTGTTGCTGTTTTTGTTGCTGTTGTTGTTGTAGTACATATCTAAGAAAATAATGTATTGATCCTATTATCATATTCTTGTTGTTTTTTCTATTTTAAACGGATATTTATCTCATGTTTTTTTATTCCTATTCTTAACTCTTCGTTTCGTTCTAAATATTTATTTCCTTTTATTACTATTTTTATTCATTTTATTATTATTATTATTATTATTATTATTATTATTGATTTGCGCATTTCATATGCATAGTTAGAAATTTGTTAAGTTTATTCTTAAAGCATGCAAAGACGACAAAAAAAATAACAATTTAAATAGTTTCCAATTGTAAGATTTATATATATATATATATATATATATATATATATATATATATATATATATATATATATATATATATATATATATTTATATATATTATTCATCATATCGAAAATATTAAATATATATAAATATTTTGTTTTAGTTTGAAACAAACTCGAATAAACCGCAATTCTTTTTTATATAGGCAGTAAAAAATTGTTTAAGCGCATCTTGCGTATGTCTAGGAAAGCTATCGATATCGATACGGCTACCGATAACTTTGTGATATCGGCGCAACACAAATATCGATCGATTTGTAACGTTTTTTGAGACGCTGTCGTCGTTCGGCTAGCTAATTATATATAAATGTATATATTTGTTGTTGGTTATGCAAAAAAAAATTAGAAATAATATAAGACTATACAACTAATTGTATAAAAAGATATATATCAGATATATATATTTATATATAAATGTGTATGTATAATATGCTGAGGCATATATTGTTTATAGTAACTTTCTATATAACTTAATGTTTATAAATTGTTTTTGCTTTCCTTTCATTGATAGTTTTTTTTTTTGCATTTCAATTTTGGCGCTGCTTCAAAATTTGCGCTTCTTCCCTTTCGTCTAATTTCATTAACTGTTCTGTTTGCAGTTTGTTTTGACTCTTATATTCGCTTTCGCTTTTGCTTACACTTACGCTTTTCTCGCTCTCGTTCACTCTCTGAATTAGCTTTCAGTTATTTACCGATGGCTTTCAGTGTGGCAGATCGCTTTCTCACTCTCTCACACTCTTTCTTGCTTTACTCTCCTTCCCTTTTGCTACTACGTGTTGTTGTTGTTTGCTTTTAGTGGCTCATTCGTTGTAACTTTGTCTGTTTTTCGTTTTTGTTTCCGTTTCCGTTTCAGTTTCCGTTTTTTTTTTTTTTTGTTTTCTTACTTTCTACTTTTTGTTTTCCTTTCTCCGTTTGTTTTAGGTCTTGTCCTTGTGTTCTTCTTATTTTTTGTTGTTTTCGATGTTGTTATTCATTCATTGGTTAAGTAAACAGAAACTAAATTTCTAAGCTCTAATATCTATATCTATATCTATATCTAAATCTATATCTTTATATATTTATATATAAATATATAAATATATATATATATATAAATATATACATATATATATATATATATATATATATATATATATATATATATATATGATAAAAATAAAAAATAAAAAAAAAGACAAAAATAAAAGAATAAAACGTTTTGTGTTTTGTTTTGAAATTCCCTTTCCTAATTCTACGTTCGTTAAACATTTTCGTTTATAGTTTTAGCTTCCAACTTGCATTTTGCGTTACTTCAAAATCAAATCAAAAATATCACATTAAAGAAATCCAATTTAAATCACTAGTTTACAGTTATATACGGATATATGTAGACATACATACATATATATACATATATATATATATATATATATATATATATTTATGAATGCATGTAGCAATATATAAAGCCAAAGCTGAAAGCTTAAGAGGATGCTTATATAATATAAAGTATGTATTTATATATATATAGATATATAAATATATATACCGTTATTTGTAATGTTAAACTATTCTATTCGTCGATCGATTTTTTTTATTTTTGTTTTATTTTTAGCATCCGGTGCAGTAGACGAAATAAGAAAACTATCTAACTGCATCGTCATCATCATTATCGTTATGGTAATTATTATCATTGTGTTATCAGTGATAATTGTTATAGTTATCTGTTATGAACATCGAGACATATTTCAATCGATCGTACGTACGCTCTACTGGCTAATACTAAAATCTGATATTGAAGTTCAAAAAATGCTTATCTGAGCCTACGTCCAAATACACTTAAAAACAACTAGTCAGCTTGTAACTGCGTTCTCTCTCGCTCTCAAATGGTCATATCGAATTATCGATCTATCAATATTTTTCGCTCAACAGGGCCTTGCTTGCAAACACGTTATTCACCCTCTGCTCCCTTGTTTTCTCCGTCTCAATTTCCTTCTCTTTCTCTTTAACCTTTCCCTTCTCACTTGCTCTCCCTCTTACGGCTATGATCATTCAGCGGCATTCTTACTCAGACGCAAACGCGCCAATTGCTCCTGCTGCTGCTTGAGCTTGGCTTTCAACAGCTGCCGCTTCACGTTCAGGTCCCGCTCCTCGCTCGTCAGTTGCTCGCAAAGCCTGGCCGCTTCCCGCAAGATATTAACCTTGGGGGCACGCTCCTTATCCCTAATGTTGGGTATTTGCGTCTTGAGCGCTTCGAACAGATTCTTGAGTCCGATGCGACGCTGACGTTCCATATCGTTATGCAGATTACGTTTCTCAATTGTATCCGCCCCGTCGACGCTCAGATGACGCTTTAGTGTGTTGCTGCTTATGTGGTTGTGGCTGTGACTGTTGCTGCTACTGCTGCTGCTGCTGCTGGTGCTGATGGCGCTGATGCTGGCGGAGTTGCTGGCATGCGACATTACGTTTCGGACATCCTTAGCATCGAAGCCATATGAATTGAATTGTCCACGCTTCAAGGGGCGCTTCTTGGATAGCAGATAGCCACGTGGATGACGCTTGGTTGTCAATAGATCTTCGCCGCAGTCGGGCATATAGAAGGTCTTACGGTTCTTTTTGCCTCCAGCTCCCACGCTCATGGGGATGGGCGGGGTTGTGCAATCACTGCTGCTGCTGCTGCTACTACTGCTGCTGCTGCTTTCCGGTGAGTAGGTGGCTGCCACAGCGCCTGCGCTCTGATAAGGCGTACTCGAGGGCGAGGGATAACGTGAGTTGGCAACCGATTTAACAGGAGTGCTGCTGGCCGGCGTACAGGGTAGCTCATAGCGTCTGGATGAGCGATGGACAACGATGCGATTGTCGCTCGAGATTTTATTGGCCACCTTTGTCTGAAGAACGCGTCGATCGCGATCTGAAGGATTTGTGGGCAACTTCTTGTCATTCAGGGAGACTACGTCGATTTCCTCATCTGCAGCGAAAACGATAACAAATAGGAAAGAGAATAAGTTAGTAAAGAGCTGCAAACAGGCATGATTAAGTCTATACTTAGCTTATATGAACATGGTTTATGCTTATAATTGCCATTGTTGAGTTGACGGAAAAGAAAAGTAACGAATAGCAACGGGCAATGAGTAACGAGTAGCAGCCAACAAATACTATGTGACTACGTAACGAGTTGATCGATATCACAAGTAACGAGTAGGTAAATAAATGAGTAACCAGTGACTAAAACAAGTAACAATGAGTAACGAGTAGCTATTAAAACTTAACGATGATATAAGTTGCATCCATGTACTTGAGTCTCCCATCCTTCAATAGGTAAGTAAGAACTATCCATACTTACATATACATATACATCATACTATGCTATGGTACCAACTATTGTATGTTGTATATCTCAAGAAAGCCCTGCAAATGTGTAGCGAATGTCAACGACAGTTCAATGACTACAGCATAGAAACATGATGATGTCATTGTGCGCGAATGTGCGTGTTGTGTGTGTGGGTGGTTGGGTGGATGGTTTGTTGTTTGGCTAGCTGACTGGCTGGCTGGGTGGTGGCAAGTGTGTTGGGGCCATGCGGTAGGCCCCACGCAAAGCGGATTAGTATGTCAACGTTGCGAGACAAGTGGCTTGACGCCACTTGTAACAGTATCAGAATTCAGGAAGCAATAGATTTGCGCACAGACAATAGGCATCAAGAGAGTGAGGGTGAGAGAAAAGGAGAGAAAGAAAAGCAACCCCCACCTCTATGCACAAAACATCCCCCGGCTCTCTCCAACTATTCCTTGACGTCAGACGCATAACGGAAAACTTAGTTTGCCAAAATGAATTGAAAAAACAATAATAAAAATAATAAATAAATAAAAGCAAAAAAGGCCATGCAACCGCTGATAAAGCTTTTACGCAAATATAGCTCAATGCGAGATTGAGAGAGATGGGGTGGGGCTGGAAGATACGACTCTTTCCTCTGCTGCGATCTCTGTCCAACCCCAACAATGTGGAATTTAAGCTTCCGTTGCTAATTTGGTTCTTCCGCCGGCGCGCGCGCGACCATTGACCAAGCATCGCAGCGTCGAAGTCGCAGTCGCAGTTGTTGCAATCAAAATTTAGGCCCAGCCCGATTTTAAATGCCTTTAATCAAATTACAATTTGCCAAAAAAAATTAAAGAAAAAATGCATTTATATATATTAAATTAAGAAGCTTTTGCTTTGCAGCTTATCAGCCGTTACTCTAATCCGTTTCCCTTGCACACATACACACACACAATCACATCGAATATTTGCACATATGCTGATTGTACATATTGTATTTGTATGTGTGTGAGTGTGTTTTGCCTTGGCAACTTTTCAAACAGTTGTAGAGAAGAACGGACGGACAGAGAGCGCGAGAGAGCCGTGTAGAAGACAACACAAAGAAGTAGGAGACTGCGCGCAAAAAGTATACAAACAACAACTATATAGAAGAGCTTCAAAGTTCAAGCCACAATAACACTGAAGCTTCAAATTCCACGTTCAATATTTCAAGTCCAAGTCCAAGTGCAGGGCAGCAGAGCGAGCGAGCGAGCAACCGCAACAAACGAAATCGAAACCAGGAAACTGGGCAACCAAGCGTTTCTATAGTGGGCAACCACCTTTGGCATCATGTTGCATGAGTCAGTTGCGACGAAGCGTTGCGTTGCGTCTCATTATCAATACACATTTTGCTTCTGATGCTGCTGCAAAATAAATGCAACAACAAAAATCTCAGCCAACCACCAAAATGATAATGAACCTCATCATCATCAGGCTGTTAGCTAGACAAGGAGCAGACCTTACCCGATACCCCAACAAGAATGTTGCCCAGTGGCCATTCTCCATTTTCTTTTTGCCATTTTCTTTCTTTTTGGAGCCGCAGCGCATCTCATGGAATGTGACTGCAGCAACAATGTCGCTCCCCATGTTGCTGACACAGCAAAAAATGTTGCTGTGCATTGCTTTTTTAATGTAAAATTTGTTGTTTCGTAGTAAAGCCTCAGACGGATATGAGCGCGAGCGAGAAAAGACCGCACGCAGACGTTGGTTTTGAATGATTTGCATTTTCAGAACGAGACCACAATCAGGCACCACTAACAACAATCACAACACAATAGCTTAAGAGCATTCCAAACGTCGTGCAGATCGGTCAACAGAGAATACAACTAATTTACAGCTGTCACAGAGTCCGGGAGATTTCCTTAAAAATAATTTACGCGAATTACAATGTGCAAAAAAAAAACAATTATAATAAACAGCAGACGGCGAGGGATGCATACATACACACAAAAAAAATCACAAAGCTCACAGTTGCAGCTTTTCTGCTTCTGTCGCTGTTGGCGTCGCCGCCGCCAACTTAAAAAAGAGAAAAAACTGGAATAACCCGTTTGCAGCGATAACCGAAAGCTTGGCAGCATTTGTTGCTAAGCGCGCCAAGATCAAATCAAGACTACAAGCTTAGTTGTAATAGTAGTAGAAATAATAATAATAATAATAATAATAATAAAAATAATAATAATAATAAAGCACAATTGCCAGCCAAATGCATAGAGGAAACAGCTTGTTGTTGCTACCGGCGTAGTTAATTATAATTGCAAATAAAGTGCACAAACACACAGGCATGGACACGAGCACGACTTAATAAGTTGCGCAACTTTTATGCAGCTACCGGCTGTCTGTGGGCGTCAAACGAAGAGCAACAACTGCGACACAGACTCAGACACTCACTCGCACACACACATATTCACTCACTCAGTCACACACACACTCAAAGCCACAACGACTAAATCTTTTGCCCTATAAAATTTGCATTCTGCAAAAAGGGACAGCAAATGACAAGTGCATTGTTCAATTTACGATGCAAGATGAAACGGTAAAAAGAGTGTAGGTAGTAAACAAAGAGTTCAATATATATATAAATATATATACTTATACATTGTATATATGTATGCACAACTCAAGCGCCCCAAGCAGCCAGACGCAAATGTTAATTGAGGCGCAGCAGGCTAACGACGTCGGCATCGGCATCACCGTCATTGCTGCCCTCGTCTACGACACCCGTTACTCTTGATAATATCCGAAGATAAAGAGCAAATAGACAGAAAGAAAGATAGAGGAAAAGCTGTCGCTAATTCCCTCTCTCACATTCTCTCCCACCAGCGAAGCACACAGCCAAAACGAACAAAAATGCTTTAAAATTGAGCAATGTAAACACAACTGTATACAAAGCGCAGAATGAAATTGAAATCGAGAAGTATAAAAATAAAAATGGCGTATGATGTAATTTTCACATGAGGAATTTCGAGCCTATAAAAGACCAAAAAAAAAAAAAAAAAAACAGACAAATGACGAACGCACAGTGGTACAAAGCTTGTTATCTATGCTTAAAAACTTGGCTGTGGTGGCCCACCGTGCATATAAACAAATAAATAAGACAAAAAACCACTATTCACTTAGCTAACGACAAACTGCCCACGCTAACGCATCGAGGCAGAGGGGTGTGGCTGTATATTGCCATTTCTTATTGTCGTTGTTGTATGCTTGTAAATTGTTTAATAACATTTCTTGTGCTCAATTGTTATGATTCTGCTTGCCGTCTCTTTCACTCTCTTCTGTTTAGGTTTTCTAAAATTATTTGAATTCACACTAGAAACAACAACAACAAAACGAATAGTCAGAAGATGGAACAGACACATTTCGCACAACTTGTTAATCTCCCTTACTTCCTCTGTTTCATTCTGCTTACTCATATTCCTTATTGGATCAACTGGAATTTCACGACAATTCTGACAATGATTTCATTTCAATCTGATTCCCAACTTTCCTTCTTATTTTTCAACGCTTATTTATTATAAACGCGTATTTATTATAAATGTTTATTATACTTGCTGGGGCACGAGTTTTACTGGAACATTAACAATTCTAAGAAATTTCGAATGACGACATTTGCCAGTGGCATATGCATATTGCAATGTGCCGTACAGTGTGCGCCAAACCGTGTTCCCACGCTAGCACAATAGCACATAGCCAATTGCACACACATAAACAGAAAGGATCAAGAAGGTCTCATCTATGCTGCCAACATGTGTTGGCAACATGTCACTTGCAACAAAAGTTACTCGTTCCATTCGTTTTGTGGTTTTCCAACCAAAAGCAGGAAAAAAAAAACAAATTACAATCGCAATTGCAAATCCAATTGCAAATAAAAAAAAGTTAAAAAAAAAGAGCAAAATGCGTCTATTCAGCGTGCTACGCAGTCGCTGTTGCTGCTGCTGCTTCCTACGAGTTGATGATTGCAGTTCCATTTTGATGCCTGCAACTTTTTGCCGCAACACTTGCATTTGAATCTGCAGCTATCGACTGCCACGCCCTTTTTCACTTGAGCAGCAGCATGACTCATTCTCGCCAAACCCTTTTTCAAATGACAAATGTCGCCAAAAATAAAAGCGCAATAACAAAAAAAGTCGTTAAGAGAGGGTGGAGCGATGCGGAGCCCACTGACAATGTCGCAGTGCGCCAGCTTCTAACTTCAATGCTTCAATATCTACACACAAACATTCCATAAATTATTAAAATAATGAATTTCGTCTGGCAACATTTCGGATAGCAACATTCCTTCATTCTCTTCTCTTTGGCAACATTGTACTCACATACGCACATACACATGTACATATGTATGAATATGTATGATGCTGTTTCTCCAGTTAAGGCAACAACAAACATCCAACCAAAAAGGGAGGCTCGTTGGCGTCGGCAGCCTTGCAAAAAAAAAAATAATAATAATAAAAGCAGCGACGCATCAATAGTGAGTGCGTGTGCAAAGAGCGGCGCAATACCCACAAAAGTTAGCCGGCGCAGTCGCCGCCGTCGACGCCGACCTTGAGCATTACAATTTATTGCTTCACGTGTGCGCGAATAAGCAGCATAATGAATGCGTGCGAGTAAGGGAGACACTGAAGCCGAAAGCGCTAGTGTGAACGAGACGCACACGAGAGACAACAGTCGGCGGGTGTGTATGTGTATGTGCGTGCGTATCTCTTTGTGTGTGTGCGACGCGCCTAGCAACAGCGGGCGACGTAAGAAGCACAAGCACAATACCAAATAAAAGAAGAAGACTAATTTTGTTAGTCGTCGTCGTCGTCGCCACAGCCATTGTTAAAGCTTTTTATGCTGTTGCTGGGCGGTTTTATTTGGGGTTTTTCTTGGTGGATGGGCTGGTCGCTTATTGTAACTGGGCGCTAAACGCTGCCAAAGCCAGACGCATAAATTTTCTGCCCTAGCGAAAGTAAAACAGCAAAGAGGCAAAAAAATAAATGAAAATACATATGGTATATATATGTATATACCCCTTAGACAACTCTCTCTTACGCGTTGTCTGCACACATCACGCATCGCCGCACTATTTCTGGTTAGTTTTATTTAATTGGTAATTCAAATAGCAACAGCAACAGCAACAACAACAGCAACAACAACAACAACAACAACAACAACAACAACAACAACAACAACAACAGCAGCAGCAGCAACGACAACACTCAAGCTTATTCTCATAAACTTTGCGTTCCTGCTTCGTTTTGGTTTCTACGCACTATTTTATGATTATTCGACCTTCGTTCAGTTCATTAACATTTTTTATTCGTATTTCGAATTGGTTTCGGTACTCGAAATAACACACGCATAGCAACAACAAGAACAAGAACATGAACGTTCGTTTAGTTCTGTTTTTGTTCCACGCACAAATCCAAAGGTGCGAAAATGCCCATAAAGCAACAATAACAGCTGGCAGCAGCATCAAGCACACAAACGTGCAAATGTACAACAATATAAAATATAACAATTAAATCTTTCTATCTTTGTATGTATAGCACTCGAAAAACTTCTTCTCGTTAACTATTACCATTCGTTGCTTTTTTGCGCTTTTTACGTCCTTTTCTCTCTCTCTCTTGCTATCCCTTTTTTCGAATTTCCATCTCAGTCTTTCAAATTGCTAATGAAGTGTCACGCGCGCACACACAATCTGCAGCACGCACCTGTTGTATTTGCTGCTGCGCTGCTTTATTTTGTTCCCCTCTTGTTGCTATGGGTTTCGCGCGGTTCGTGCATGTTTTACGGACGCTTTTCTTTTGACAAATTATTCATATACGCGCACTCATACACACACTTGCGTTACGTTTTCAATTATCAACGCTGCTATCAGTGACAACAACAATTTGATACCGGCTCTTTCGCACATTGCGCGTATTTTATTTATCATCTCACGCGCTTTACTTTTCGCAATCGCATTTGCATAAGCATACTGTATGTGTGTGTGTGGAAGCATGTGGGAGCGGGTAGAAAAGTCAGGCAGGAATACCAAAAAAAAAAAATAAATAAATAAAATAAATAATGTTTATTATGTGGGCGTTTTTCGCTAATAGTCGAATACATATACGTATACACGCTCATGATAATTTACAAATATGAAAATAAACGGGGGCAGCAAAATATGCTCGCCTGGTAACAGACAACACCAACTGTATGTCTATTTGATACATTTGTATGTACATGATATATGTATGACAGAATTTATTGTGCCATATCAATTAATACATACCAGCAGCAGGAACTATATTTTCTCTTTTAATTACGGCAATTCTTCATATTAGTTAGCGTATCTCACAGAAAGGTATTTTATTATTTTAGTTAGCATTTAGTCGCACACGACAAACAAATCATGTGCGCTAAAAACTAGTCGTTGCATATAGGTTATGAAAACTAATATACCCTGCACTAAACAAGCTGCGCCGCGCTGCGCTGTCTGCAATTGTGAATCTCCCATCGACAGACAATGAATGCGTCAGGCAGCTGCGAGTGTGAATGCACTCGGCGTAAGCACACAAAAGGCAGCCCCGTGTGCGAGCGAGAGTGAAAGACCTACATGTGCAATTCGTCAGTAGCGTCGACGTTGATGCCGAAGCCAACGCCGACGTGAGCCGGTTGCTGTTTGGGCTTGTGCGCTTTTATGCATGTTTTGTTTTGCTTTTCTTTTCGAGCTTATTTTATTATGACAGAAAAAAAAAAATTAAAAAAAAAAAACAGAAAAACGACAACAATAATAATAACAATTGCGAAGGTTGGGGAAGTATGAAATATTGAAGGAGATTCCGGCCCACATATGCTGGCATTACTGTATATCATCAACGTCGGGTATTTGTGTGTGTGTATGCAAGCGACTGCAGTTTGTGAATGAAAACATTACGCGCCAAATTTCATTTGTATTCGTGTCAGATATAGTAATAGTAATGAAAAAAGGTAAATCTGCGTACGAGGGCGGCTCAATATGTTTCTGTTTTCATTTCGGTAATGAAACGAGAAATAGTATAGGCAACGGAATTGCCAAAAGACATTGAACCCAAAAGCCAACTAAGGATAAATCAGCTAGGCGGACGGAAAGAGGGCGGCCGGGGACAGGGTGTGGCGTTGCTGACGCCACGTGGCATGAGCACAGACATCCTTGAACCATGGGTTGTTGCCCAGTGATAGACCGACCGGCGAGCGTTAGAGTGAGAATGCAAGAGAAACAATGACTTTTTGGGCGTAGTACAAACTGCGCAAGACGGCGGCACAAATGTACGAGAGGATGACGCCATGGCTACTCACACATACACATACACATACACACACTCATACACACACAGACAGAGAAACTCATAATGAGCCATGAAAGCCACGCGCCATCATCTGCCATGGTGAGAGAGAGTGGCGGAGGGTGGGTTGGGGCACGGGGGTTGTTCGCAGCTATGCGTGGGCTACAAGGCGCCAACGAAATGTGCAAATAATTGGGGTTGGAGCTCAGTGCTGGGAAAGGAAAATCAATGAAAGCTCTTTACCCAAAACTTGGAAGCTATGCTCAACGTGTGGGCGTGTGTAATGCCTGCGCAACAACAACAAGAGTAACAAGAGCAGTAATAGCAAAAAGTTTACTACGTTGGCTGTTGACGTAGGCGATCGATTTTTGGGCGCGTCATCATTCACCCACGTAGAGCACAACAACTAGTTGAATGTCTCTGGGCGAGGTGAAACCGAAAAGGATGGGATATGAAATTAACGAATAAAGTCAAAGAGAATGCATAAGAGTGCCGTTAATCAATGGTATGTTGGTGTGATGAAAGAGCAGGCGAGAGAAAGAGAGCCTTTTGTGAAGTGGGCCATTGATCGAGAGACGTATGCTAGTAGAACACTTGCAGCACAAGAGGCATTGATCTAAACTGTCATATTTAAGCAGTACTCTAAGTATAACACTCACCAGAATCGGAAGGCGTGTCCAAATTGGCCTCTACCTCGTTGCAGCGCGTATAGCTGTGATCGCTTATGTGACGCATTATGGATGCACTGCAGCTGGACTCGCCCATGGAGCAATCGCCATAATCTGAATCAGAGTCCGAACTGGTTGCCGTTGTTGCTGGTGGTGACAATGTCGTCGCTGCTGCTGCTGCCGCCGATAGTTGCGTTTGCTGATTGAGCACCTCCAGAACATCTGTTATAATTGGCGGATCAACTGGTATACGATACGGCAGATCAATGCGTTCCTTGCTCGTATTCTGCAGCTCTCGACTCAGATGATCGATAATATTCGCATCAGAGCTGTTTGTCAATGAAATGTTATTGCTGCCCATAACGCAGGCGCGCAAGTCAACATTGTGACGGAACTCGGGTAAGACCTCATCATCCAACATGACGTAGCTGTTGTTATTGTTGCTGCTGCTAGTATTAGTGTTGTTGTTGTATGTAAACAAATGCGTTAAGCGCTGCTGCTGCTGCTGCTGCAGTTTGTGCTGTTGCAACTTGTGCTGCGTATTGCTTTTACGTAGCAGCGAGGCACCCGGCGGTATATACTTCTCAATAACGGGATCGCGTTGCATCATTCGATTATTGGGTATCGAAATCGTTGCCGTTGCTGTTGCTGCAGCCGACTTGCTACTGCCACCAGTTGACCTGCAACTGTTGATTTTCTTGCTGTTGTTGCTGCTGCTGCTGATGTTGTTGTTGTCGGGGCAATTCTCGCTATTGCTGTCATTGTCCTGATCCTGATCCTGATCCTGATCGAGGTCTGGTTCATCCTCCTGTTGCACTTCATCTTCTTCCAATTCACGCTTTATGCGTAATGTGCTGCCACTCACAAAGGCTGGTGGCACGGCGCTGCTTTCGCTGTAGCTGGATGCGGCCGAGAGGTTGTAGTTGCTGCTGCTGCCGTTCCCGCCATTTGTGCCGCAACTGCCATTGGCTGTGCTGCCGTAAGCGGACCACATACAGTCACCATTCCGAATCTCCGGCTTTATGTCTCTATTGGTGGACAGCGAGAGGTTATATATTTGGTGGGGGTGTTCGGCGTCAATTTTCGCCACGTCATTCTGTATGCTGGGCAGCCTTAGTTCCTGTACGCTGAATTCCATCAGATCGCCGAAAACAGGGTCGTCCATATAATCATATTCGCTGCTGTTGCAAACTGTCGCCATTTTGGCCACTTTTTGTTGTCTTTACAATTTACACAATTTACGTCCTGAACTGGGGAAGGCTGTATGCTCTGTGGTAGAACAGTAGCACAGTAGCACAGTATCCAGCTGCGAAAGCTGTTTGAAGTAAAAACAAAAAGGAAAATAATAGATAGTTTTAAATATCTCATATTTTAATTCTTGCTATAAAAATGCATTAGACTTATTAAAAACAAAGTTATATAAAAGTAGCACAAAATATTTACTACATTAATATTTATTTATTAACATTGTTTTTCAATTCTTATATTGGGACAATTTTTTTAAAATTATTATTTTTGGTTATTTATATATTATTTAAGAATCTCCTTTTTTGCTTTTGTTTATACAAATTTATATATTTGTATTGATATTTGTATATATCCATTATGTTTTTTTTAATATTATTATTCGATTTTTTACTCAACTTAATTTTTTACAAAAAAAATTCTAATTTTTTTTTTTTTTTTTTTCTTTTTCACTGTTATTTGGTTTGGCTCACATATATAAAATACGTAAAAGCAAATACATGTAAGTGCGTATAACACTTACGACTTACGCGGCCATCTTGACAGTACGCAAAAAAAAAAAGAACAAATTTACCATTGGAAGAATGATATAAAATTCAGAGACAAAATCATGCGAAGCCACTGCTGACGTCGACAACAGCAGTTCAGAAAAGTTATCAGAGAAACGCGCGCTAGCTTTTAATTATAAATAAATTGTTTGATTCTATTTGATTTGCGATCCAAATCACTTGGCAACATGCGCGAACTTTGTTGATTTGTCTCAATAATATTTCGCTCGCACATAAGCGCGCAGACACACAGTCATACACATGCGCGATATATACTATCAGTTAAACTGGTAAAAGCTGATCTCTTCATTGCATTCCGATCCATCTACCTCTTTCTCCTTCCTTTTTCTTCATACGAAGCAATAAATTTTGTTGCTCTATTCGCTAGTTTAGTCTAAAAGATGTAGCAGGAACGGTAAAAGAAAACAAAATGACGGCTCTTCCAGCTAGCGTGAGAAAGCGAATGAAAGGATATAGCAAAAACACTAAGTGCCGGCACATGTTCATGTGTGTGTTTCTGACGGCTCTTGTTTATTTTCTTTTCTCTTAAATTCAAAGTTAAATTTTCACTTCAATTTTTGACACTTGGCTTACCTCAGCTTCGTTTATGTCCAGTATACGAATTTAAAATTGTAATCCAATTCGGCAATTGCTTCTTGGTGAATACTTCTTTTTTTGACAATATATTTAATTGGCGCACTTTTAATCGCCGTTTAGAACAGCAGAAGGAAACCCAAATATAATTGAATATAACACCCGAAAAAAATTATAATAGAGTGAATTGACAAAGCTCACTGCTAGCAGGAACAAAAAAAAAAAGAAGAAAAATCACACTCAAAATTTTTACGTCGATTCGCGCGCCGTCGTGTAATTTGTAATTCGTTTTTTCTTTCTTTTGAAGCGTCTTCAAAATTCATTTACGATTTGCTGCTGCACTTAGTGCTCTCCTTCGGCTTTCCTTTTCGCACCACTCACGCACGCACACAGCTCTAACAATTGTCTAATTGTAGCGGTATTTAACGCGCTATTCTGCTTCACTTCACATTCACATTTACTCGAAGCAGAAGCTGTGTTCGAGAAGACCTTTACGGCGGCGACGGCGGTGGCTGCTGTTGCTGCCGTTGCTGCGATTGGTACAAATTTAAAGAATGTCTAGAAAATTTCCTAGTATTTGTGCTTATTTTTAGCGATGTCAGTTTTTAAAAAATATTTTTTTTTCGAATCTGAATCACTTGTAATTGATTTTTATTTTTTTTCTTTTTGGTACTCTCTATTTAATTTAAGTTAGTCCCCGATAGAATTTTTGTGGTTTCAGCTTATTTTTGGTAGATGAATTTTATTATTTTTCTTGTTGTCGTCTATTGCTTTGCCTAATCATAGCAGAATAATTCTTAAAATTTTATTTCATTAAATTATTTTTTATTTTTTTGTTGAGCGGGAAACAGGCAAAAACCTACAAAGACGAAGAGCCAACTACGCGTAACACGTGCAACCGTGCCGAAGTCTCAAATAAGAGTGTTGGGTCCATTCCATGCTGTTATATTGTGGTGAGATTGTGAATGTCGCACATTGAGAGTGTTCTGCTTGCTGAGTGTCTACTACTTTGACTCAATATTAATTTCGTGGCACGGCGTAATAAGAATGTGTAGCTTTCGTGGTCTCTCTCTGTTTATTTACCTTTGTGTGGTGCACTGCCGGCCGGTACAATAGCATTTTTCGCCGATATGAAAGAGCCAGAGGGTAAGCGAGCGCGGCAATGAGTGAGTGAGTGAGTAAGTGAGCGAGTGAGTGAGTTAATGAGTGAATGAGTGTGTGTGTGAGTGAATGAGTAAGCGATTGAGCGTTTTTTCTCCTGCATGTGGTTGTGTAAACTAGCCATTCATTGTTTTGAGTGCAAAACACGACCAATTGAGTTTTGTTTACAAAACAAAAATATAAACAATAACAATTAGGTGAAAATATTATGCATATGCAAATTCAAGTGCGGGAGCAATGCAGTTATAATTGCGCATACATACATATACATATGCAGGTCAATACAATACCTGATATTGCGTGTGTATGTATGCGAGTACACACATACGCATTTACGCATTTATATAGAATGGTGCAAAAACACTAACACACTACCACACACACATGCAAACATACATGTGCATGTAATTTAAGCTTCTTCGGATTTTTCTCCTCCCCCATTGGTCAATAGTTGATTGAACCTTTGAACTTTTTGAAAGCAAAAAAAAAAGCAAACAGCAAAAAAGGAAAACAAAACAAAAGAAAAAAGTAATAACAAAGTTTATTTGAGGTTGAGGTAGGTTTCATATCTAGTTAAAATGTGCTTAACCACCTGAAGATGAGGAAGAAGACAATGAACAACTTCTTGCCAGAATATTAATCCATAACTATAGGCTGAAAATTTGTAGATCTCCGAAAAATTAAAATTTTATGTTTTTCTTCTTCAGCATTATTGTAGGTGCTATAGGACCTACCCTATATATTGAGCCGATAAAATGTTACTTGAATTATCAAACTTTGATTTATTCACAGTTAGCTTGACTATACGATACCCTTCAATCAACTTGCAGAATCATTTTATATTGAATTAATGTAATAAGTATTATATAAATTATGTCCTGCATTTGAGAAACTTTCTATTGAATAACTTAATTTTCGAAGTAGTTTTTGAAGGGAAGGTATTCAAAATTGAATATGCTAAACTTTGATAATCTGCGAATTCATCGTAGAAATTAACTTGGTCAATAATGTCATGAAAAGCCAATTATCGATTCTTATCGATAACACTCAACACATAAAAAACCTTCCCAAAACATTTAAATTGCCTTTAAGCGTGGCATACCCTTCATGATTTTGCTATACTTTTCTCTTAGAAGGGAGAACTGGAACGCATCGCTGAACAAATTTAGATGCCAGAAGTAGGCATAGAAAGAATTGTGCGTAGCGGGACTTTTACGACTTTATCGAGCAAACACGAAGTTGGTGGGAATATTCGATGAAGCTATGCATAGCCATTTCGAATAGATCACATAGAAATATCTAGTTTATATACATAATGTAATATTATTTCTATTACTTAACGTTACATTGATAAGATACATAAGATGTCCATTCGCTTTCTTGACAGTTTTTTGTCCCAAATCAATTGTTTTGTCTTTTGTAGAAATTTGTTGTATTTGCATTGCAATGCAATATGCACAGGTATGCATGTGTGTGTGAGTTCTCTTTGCATTGAGCTGTTCGATATTCGGACTCAATTTGTTGGTCGTTTCGATTTCGATTTCAATTTCGTTTTCGTTGATTTGCACTTTTCGGCGCGTGCATTTTGTGATTGTCGCTGCTGTCCGTTTGTCTCTGTTCTATGACAGTTGCTGCTTCGAGTACATTACGGGTACGCACACGCACAAACGCACACATGCTTACGTACACATGTATGTACGTGCATATGTATTGCATTTGCATATGCAACGAAAGAGAAACTAAAACGCGCGCAGCTAGAAAATAAGAGTAGAAGCCTTCTTCAGCTTGCCGCGCATTTTTGCCTATGTCAATTGTTTTCCTATTTTTTTCACTTTTGTGTACTTTCCATCAAGTTTTAGTTGTGGGTTTTGTTCTTGTTATTGACTCTGCTTCTGCACTGCTATTGCACTTGCATGCGTACATATATACATACATATACAGATTGTTGCTGTTGGTATTTTGCGCAATTATTTGCGCGTGTTCAATTTTTTGCTCGTTCTGCTTGTTGTTGTTGCGTCTTTGCCATTTGCCATAGTAGCAAACGCTACGCCATTGCGGCGAAAGCCAACTGCGTAAATAAAGGCAACAAGTGCGGCTGGCAACTGCTTATGCCAGTAATGCTAAAATGCTAAAAGTTATCTAATTCTGATGCTAATTCGAAAAAAGTCATTAATATCGCAAAATGAATTGCTAATATTTTGTTTGTATTTTTACATTTTAAAAGCTTGCAATTTGTAACGGCGCATCGATAACATTACAACTGTGTGTGCGTGTGTAGCTCACAAAAACGTATAGGCGCCACTACACATATATATATATATATATATATATATATATATATATTTATATATATATATTCTCTATTACTCTTTCGCGTACTCTCTTCGTTAAGCTGCATATTTAACAGCTAACACGTGTGACTACATTGTAATGGGGCATGCAGGGCGGGCACTTAACGTGACAGGGAGTTGATAAGATGGCGTCGCCATTGTTGTTGTTCCAGTTTTAGTTTGGCAGGTGTTGGTGTAATTGCAATTTTAATGCGTCTCAGCAACAACTGCATTGGAAACAACAAAATGTGAATCCATGCAAACCATTACATATGTATATGTATGTCTGTTTACAGTTACATATGTAATTGATTGTGGATCAAAGCACAGCCTAAAGCGTGAGAGATGTGTACAATATGTATGTTCAATGCAATTGTCCGATTGCTACAGCGAACATCAGCTTTTACGGCATTCACGTTGGCAATTTTGTTGTAAACTGCGTCGTTTCCAAATTTCCAAATATAAAAGTAAAAAGTATGTAAGCAAAGAAGAGTGCTCTAGTCGAGACGGCTCGACTAGGAGAGCCCTGCGAAGCGGTCAATCAGTCTACTATTCTTTTATCCATACATATGCACACATTGTAAACAACACATGCACACACTCATACACACGCACGCGCTCTGCTTACTGCGCAGCTCATTCTATGGGAACTTAATCACTGAATAATCTTTCTTAAAGAAATTTCAGGGCATAATTATGGCATTCAGATGATTGTATTTGCACAGCACAAGTCTCTAGCATTTTCAATAGGTTCTTTGCGAATACGGGAGAGGGGGGGAGGGAGGAGGAGGAGGAGGAGGGGGAGTGATGTCCAAAATTTAAAATCTCTTCAGTACAGTAACTTACACAGTAAATCAGAAGTCTTTTACGGCATTCAAACTACACTTGAAAAATGAAGGCAAATTATCGATTTTTTTCGATAATACGGCATTGAACTTGAACTTGAACTGCGTATATGTACACGAGTATGCGTTAGAAATTTCAAGACTCTAGCTTTTGCAGTTACGAGATCGCTGCTTTCAGACGGAAGGGCAGACAGATTTGGCTAGATCGACTCAGCTTTTCGTCCTAAGCAAGAAAATAAATGCCTTAAGGGGATCTGCCATGACTGCCTGTTAAATACATTTTCACATGACCATTATACCGTGAATTTCCATTTTCAATGGATTCCGGGTATATAAAAAAAGCAAATTGCAGAAGTGAAACTGTTGGAGATAGAAAATGAAATACGTTCCATTAAAAAATTATAAAATTAACAAAAACTAAAATAGTTAATTTTTAGCTTGGAATTAAAATAAAATTGATTCTTTTTTATTTAATTTGGTTTGTTTCGATTTAAGCTTTGAAAGCCAAAACTTAGATAATACGAAATAGAAAGGGTATGCGGTAGCCCATGCGGTATTTTGTTGAAGCCTCGCCACCCACAGTTAGGATTGCATTAAATAATGCAATAGTAAGCTATCTCGCAAAAGCTTTCTAAAGCTGTCAACAGAAAGCAGGGACAGGCGACGGAAAAGCTTTTTGTTTCGAATTTCATTGTTTTGCGGATGTGTACATATGTATGTATGCATGAAGGTGTGTAAGTGTTGGTAAATTTAATGCGTTCTTGCTTTTAGCTTCATATGTATGTATATTTGTACACATATATCTACATGTATGTATATAAATAATTTGAATACACTTGCCCTTTGAAGTGCATTTGCTTATCAATAGAAAACGAATTTGGTTTTTTGCCTTCGGGCAAAAAAGATGTACATTTTTGCAAGGATTTACGCACAAGTGCAAAAACAAAACGATGCACGAAAGGGACATGACAGCAACAGCAGCAACAACTACAAGATCAACAATAATATGCCTAACCCAAGTAAACAGACAGAAACAGCAGCAGCAGCAGCAGCTGCAAAAATAACAATACGCAAAGAAGACAGCGACAAAGACAATGCCGAAGACGCTGGTCGGTACATGGTACAGTCGCGGCTCATACACACTCACAGACCAGAGAGGCGTATAGTAAAAGCAGACAGAAAATGCAACAGTGAGTTAATAACGGAATGAACCTGTACAGACTCACACACACATATGCACACACATCAAAACGCGATAACACATACACACTATTTTTGTTTGCTAAGAAAGTGCACTCAAAACAAAAGCGAATAACATTATTTAGCGAAAAAAGCGCTTTTCAGTCCCATTCGACCGCTGCCGCCTCTAATTCTTCACGTTCTCCCAGCTTGGTATTTCACAACTTGGTGTGTATGTTTGTATGTACACATACATATATAATATATTTAAATGTATTTATATATGCATATGATGCATTTAAATATACATATGTATATGTTGAATTTGACCAGCAATTGAAACGGCAACAAATTCACTAATAGAACTTATAGGCGAGTCCGTTACAGACAAATGTATGTAGGCTCTCGCGAGAGACACACAAAG